GCGGATGGCGAAAAATAGTTCCGGCCTGTCAATTAAAATGTTGAAATCAAAAGAATGTAAGACACGCGTATGTTTAAAATTTGTTCAGTTCAATCAGTTTCCCGAATTTTATGTTTTAATAAAAATTAAATTGGTGCATGATTTCTGACTCTTAACAGAAGTAAAACTGATTAGGATATTCCGAAATAAAGACGGTGTTATGACCGTTATTACATTGGACCATACTGACTAATTCCGTGGAGCAGAGTCTTTCTTAAGAAGCTGATAGTTCCTCAGCTACTCAAGAAATTCCTAGCGTTTTACGGAACCAAAGTATGCTTTACAGCCTGGTCCCTATTATGAGCCAGATTAATCCAAGTATTTTTCCATCATATTTCTTTAAGATCAACTCTAGTATTACTCTCCTATACTCGTATAAACCTAGGTCCAGAAAGTAATTTCTTTATTTTGGGTTCTCTAACAAACTTTGTATGCACTTCACTTCTCTCCCAAGCTTCCTATATTTGCCCCATCTCAACCTTCAAGAAGACTGGCCAAAATTACATATAGAGTAACTTCATAATTTGTATTTTCGGCAAATATTTCTTGAATAATTAAAATTAGGCGGTATGTAACAAAAAATTATGTATTATAAGCAAGATTATTGTCGTCTGGGATGTAATGCCGTGTAGTCTGGTAGAAGTTTACGAATATTTCAGCTGAACTACTGTCTCCATCTTCAGGGTTAAAAATTAAGACAAAGCCAGGAGCAAACAGAGCGACTCCTCTTGCACTATTTACCGCTTGCTTTTTTGAAAACGCAGGTAAACACATACCAGACTAGACGGCGTCATATCCCAGAAGCTAGTACTTTTCACGTGACAGATTTACTGCCCTACAAAGCTGAACTTTGCTGTCACAAATGGTATGAGATAGGCCTTGTGAGTTCTTGCCACAAAAAATTTGAAATGGCTCCTGTACCCCGGACCCAATGGATACAAAGCGTCTCTTTATCAGAAGGTAAGCTGGCAGGAACGTGAAGCCATCTCTTCATTCCAATCTTAATGCCGAGATCCATTGCATAACTTATTTAACGACGTTGTCAGTAGATCGTACTGCCTCTGTAGTCTAGTGGTCAGAGTTCCTGGCTACAGCTCCAGAGGTCCCGGGTTTGATTCCCGGCGCTGCCAGATTTTCTGAGAAGTAGTGGACCTGGAACGGGGTCCACTCAGCCTCGTGAGGATAATTGAGGAACTATTTCAAGGAAATAGCGGCTCCGGTCTAGAAAACCGAGATTAACGGCCGTGTGGATCCGTTGCACTGACCACGCAACACCCTCTATCCGCTAAAGTTGGCAACAATTTTGCCGACAAGAGGCGGTCGCTCGGTCGGTATAGTTCGCTTGCGGACTACAGGCTACGGACTTTGTTTTTCAGTAGATCATACTATACAATGTCGAGTGACCGCATTGTATTGTCACGTATTGGGCGTATATAACGCGACAAATAAGTTCACGCCGTTGTCTGATAGAGCGAATTTATTCCTTTCGCTCATTTACACACACTTTACAACCATCTGCACTTGCAGGCTTACAATGACCGATTACAATATTCCGGCGATACTGGACTCAGACGGATATTCCGAAGTTTCTTCTCCGAGGGCTGTTCCACGACTGACTTCTTTGGAGGCTCGAGGGAGACTCACTGTTTGTCGCTGAAGCTGGGCTATCTATAACCTTGCCCGCTGTTAGGCAACGAACCCTCCGTTATAACCATGGAGACTCCTGTTAGAATTACNATAGTTCGCTTGCGGACTACAGGCCACGGACTTTGTTTTTCAGTAGATCAAACTATACAATGTCGAGTGACCGCATTGGATTAATGAATTGGAGACGGTGGGAAAGGAAGTGGTTGTGGCCTAATTTAAAGTACAATCCCGGCATTTACTTGGAGGGACTGACCAAAAAATGAGAAACCCTGTCAGGATAATTAGTGTCCTGGCCGGGTTTCAAACTTGGCTCCCCCTGAACACATCAAAATGGTTACCGCATTAGGTAACCTGCTCCGTGTCGATGTTCAAAATGGGTGAAGTGTAACCGTGTGGACGCGAGGATGTATAAAAAGAAAAGACTTTGAACACGCTGACAAATATGAGTAATAATATATCTGTGCAGCTTTATTTTACATAATTTATTACGTTCTGCTGTGGCTTCATCTTAATGTTCCTGACGTGATATATTTCACTGGACGTCATGGCATCACAAGTGGCGTGAAAGCCAGTCCGCCACTGAGTTTCTTCCTGCTAGAAACAAGTGAACGTCACACAGGACAGTCTCCCCACCCCCTCCCTCCCGCTATACAGACGTGGGGTGGTGGGGACTCGACTGGCCGTGTCCTACAGCAACAGAGCAACAAGTAAAATGGGGCTTATTTGCAATATTGTAGAGATCGGCAGGAAGAGACCATTGTAGTCATTAGAATTACTTAATGACAGTCTTGATGCCGCGCCATGGCTCAAGCGGCTGTTCGGGTACAAACCTAGGTCAGGTCATATGGGATTTGTGGTGGACGAAGTGGCACTGGGCGGGTTTTCTCCGAGTACTTAGGTTTCCCCTGCCAATTCTCATTCTACCAAATGCTCCATATTCATCTATCATCCGGGGCTGGTAAAATAGGCCCAAAGTGACCAACATACCAAGTGGACTGAGTCTCACCCCCATCCCATAAATTCAAATAATGGTATCGTTAAGCTCCGTGCCAGAAATGGTTTTCTACATGACCCATGGGCTCCGCTAAGCCAGCTCCATCCATTTCTTGTCCCCAGAATCCACTTACCAGAGATTAACATTAATGTTATCCCCATATTTCCATCTTCGTGTTCCAAGCAAACGTTTTCCAAGAGGTTTCCTAGTCGAAATTCTGTAGGCATTCCTTATTATCAATGTATCATTAAGCTCTGTACCCGAAATTACTTCCTGTACGGTCCCTGGGTTCCGATTTCGAGACCCATTTAACGCCCTGCGGTTCGCTAGACAAGCGGCGAGCAATGACACGGGTCCCTCGGGTCTGCACCGAGCAACAGCTAAGCAGTGAGCAGCATGGCAGCACGCGCAGTGCAGTAGAATGGGGCATGTAAACGTCAGAAGTCGGTACGGCCGGTATACCAACAGGCTACAAGCTGCAAGGCCGAGTGGTCGGAGTTCGAGTCTCGGTAGGGGCAAAATATTTATTTTCCCCACGTCGTCGAGACGGGTTCTAGGGCCCACTCTGCCTCCTATCCATTTGGTACCAGGGACTCTTTTCCCTACGGTAAAGCGACAGGAGCGTGAAGCTGACCACTCGCCTCTAACTAGTAATGAGGTCAAGAATTCGTGGATCTATACGTCTACTCCCCATACATCTTCATGGAAGAGTGCTTAATTAGTTAAGCACAGGGACAACTTTACCTCACCTTTACGTTAACATTCCTGGTTCAAAATTTGGCCAATCTCTCCCGTTCTCTTTACTTTCATGGTTCTCCTCAGTTCCCCATAATGCCGCACAGCGCCGTAAAACACGTGACCACATTTCCCTCCGTCCCTGTACATAATCAGCGTCTACTTGGCATTTGAGAGGTCTGTGTTGACCCGGAGAAAAACTACCTTTATGTCTCTAGTGTTTCTCAGTATTTACGAACGCCAACGGGCCCTTCATCTGGAATTTTTCGCACTTTTCTCCAGCTTTTGTAACAAATTAACGAAGTTACATTTAAATAGTCAAACATGGAACACGTTGGTTGGTACAGCGACCAGCTACAGGCTGGATGACCGAGGGTTTGGAGTTTGAGTCCTTGTAGGTTCAAGAATTTTCTCTTCTTCACTTCGTCCAGACCAGCTCTGGGGCCCACCCAGCCTTCCATCCAATGGGTACCTGGCCCTCTTTCCCTGGGGGTAAAACGGCAGGGGGGTGAAGCTGACCACTCACCTCCAACTAGTGCAGAGGTCAGGAAAATGTGGATCTATACATCCACTACCCCATACGCCTTCAGGGCGTAGTGCTTAATTAGTTACTTATCTGGGAGGTGCTCAGTTCGAATGCCGGCCGAGACACTGGCTATTCTACGGTTTTTCTTGATTTTCCTCAGCCTCTCTAAGCAAATGCTGTGACAGTAACTCTATTAGTTCATGCCCACTTCCTTCCGAATACTTTCCAGTTCAACATTCACCAGTCATCTTACGGTCTGATGCTCTGCAGCCTACATATTGAAAAATAACATTGTTCCTGTGCTTAATTAATTCAGCACTATGCCAGGAAGGCGTATGGGGGAGTGGATGAATAGATTCACATCTTCTTGACCTCAGCACCAGCTGGAGGTGAGTGGTCATCTTCTCGCCCCTGCTGCTTTACCCCCAGTACCCATTGGATATGAGGCTGGGTGGGCCCCAGAGCCAGTCCCGACAACAATGAGAAGAGAAAATTCTTGACCCTACCAGGACTTGAATTCCGATCACTCAGTTGTCCAGCCCATAGCCAGTTGCTATACTGACTGAGCTATCATGACTCAAGATGTCTATGAAGCATTGATTACAAGTATTTTGACATATGAACTGATGATACTGACAGATACGAATGCAAGAGTGGAATAACCCAGTGGCTACTAAAATGGATCTTCCGAGGACATCGGCTGGTACATCTGGGATGGACAAAGTTAGGAACATAACAGATAACAGAAATTACATGAGCAAAAGCTATGTGCCAGATATTGCAAATACTATAGGTTACTTTGGTATGGTAATTTTCAATGTCATATGAAAGGCTGCCAAAAGTAGTAATGAATTGGGTGCAGAAAAGGAAGACCAAGGGTTGACAAGAAGGGGTAGAGATGATGGTGAGGACTGTTACCTGCAAGTTGAGTAAAGGATGAACAAGCATGGTCCTTGGGTGCCGGAACATGATGTCCGGGGTTGTGAACCAGAGATATACATAATAAAATGTTCACCTGACATGTTTCAGAATAATTCTGCCATCTTCAGGGGTGGTCAATTAAATATAGAAGCTACTAAGAGTATATTCTATGTTAAAGAATACAATAATATCTTATAATTTTTAGCAGTTTTCAAGGTCTTGATTAAACCTGTGTCCATGTTGTGTATTATCAAGATTATTTTCATAACTGACTTATCATAACAATTTCATTATAAATTCACCAGAAGATACATTTCAGTTTGTCAGCCATCTTATGTACTTCTTAGGTACCACTGTCACTTGAATGACTCACAGCACACCCTGTATCCCCTCTTCCCTGTTGACACTGTGACATGATTACTGAGACATCGCCCGCTGCTACATAACGGCTCAGTAAACACATATCGTGGCAATGTCCACATGCAAAACAAAAGAGGAAATGTTGGAAGCAGTGTTTTCTATGCAGTCCATCCTGAGGCTATATAGCAAGGGCCATCAGGAAAAGCTAGGCAGTTGAGAGCCAGTGAGTAGTCAGGGATGGCTAGTGATGCCATGAGCAAGTTGCTAGAGAGTTGCCAACCAGTAAGTATATCAGTAGGGACGCTGAGGAATCTACACTGTTGAGATCCGTTACCAGGCAACGGCTACTGAAGACAACAAGACTTTATGTGCGCTACAGTACAGTGATCTGTAAAGTGTGCAGATCTGTGTAACTGTTACAGATACCTGTCGTTAACAAGATACAAATGTTCAAATAATTCCAATTGCCAATTCAAACCTCATGTCTAGTCAGTAACATTTATCTCTTATTTAATGCAAAATTATTCTTGAAGGTAAATGCGTGTTAATTAATTAGTATCCTGGGGATGAGAATAACACACAATTAATTAATTAATCTAATAATTGTTCGGTAACACTGAAAAAACATTTAAAATATTTAACAATAATGGCAGTTTCATGTGTTATAAAGATTCAGCATGTTGAAATTAATACAAATTCCCTAAGTCTGCTTCTCAGCTCAATTTGTCTGCTGTTCCTTCACCACAGCCACCTGTTGGATCTCTGTTATTAGTGCATTGCGGAGGGAGGCCTTGATAACCTTCCCCATCGGCGTCTTTGGGAACTCTTCAATGAACCTGATGTACCCTGGAATTCGATAAGCTGCAATCTGCAATAAAAGATAATGAAATTTTATGGCCGAGACTGCATTTGGCTTGTTCTGAAACCAGTCCAGGAACCAGAGTACATCATACTTTGTGTAAGCAACCTTAGATTTGTAGTAGTAGTAGTAGTAGTAGTAGTAGTAGTAGTAGTAGTAGCAGTAGCAGCAGTAGCAGTAGTAGTAGTAGTAGAGTAGTAGTAGTAGTAGTAGTGAAATGCGAGTACCAGAGGTAATGCTGTCTGTTGTTGTTAAGACTAGTTCATGGTTAACAGCATTAGTGCCATTTGGATCCTGTTTTGGTTATGGTGATTTTTGCTAATATTTTTTTTTTCTCTAAGTACCTGTATACTCTATTTGTATTTGCAAAGGATATTCATCTTTATCATGCGCCATAAAGATAATTTTGCTTGGTTCATTAACACAGAATGGTGTGGGTTTTATTTAATACCATTTTCAGCACTTTACGGTATATAGCATCAAAAAATAATAGGATAATCAATGAACAAATTGGAATGGATGTGCTCATGGCCTAATCAAAATAATGTTCCAATATCTTCTGGAAGAGACTGAGGACAATCACAAAAACCTCAACACTGTCAATGTCCCAGACAAGATCTGACATACACATTCCCTGAATATAAGTTAGAAGCATTACTGATTAAGCTAACTTACTTGACAACCCATAGATCTACTGGTCAATCAAGCGAGGGAACGGCCTGCCAAGTAAATGACCAGCAGTCAACTGACAGTTCAAAAGACTGATGAAACTGGACCAATCAGTTGATCAGTCTGGAAAGACTTGGGAACAGTTTTAAGATTCTTCCAGTTAATTCTGTAAGTAATAAATCTCTTACCTTATCCTTGCAGTAGTTGATAATGTCCTGATCGGTAAGTTTGATTCCACTTTTCAGGCGAAGATATACGCAGATTTCCTCCCCAACCTTTGGGTCTGGCACTCCAAATACCTTCATATGGTAACACATTATCAAATTATCTTGTATTCACAGGGCATTGCGATCAGTAAAATATATTGCTAAAAGACATTTATTTGTTTTCATTGCTACTAATGGCTGGTAACAACCTTATCCTCATCAGAACTAACTATACATTCATTCATCCCTCAAGAACACTTAGTTATGATCCAGCAATTATGAATGACTGAACATTACACTTAAGGGAATGATGTGACCCTTCCATATTCAGGAAGTCTATGGTTCAAATCTCTGCCCAGACTCTGAATATCTTGATTGAGGTGTTACATGGTGCTCTTAGCCTGCAAATTCTGTGGCAGCAGCTCAAATTAGGCCATGACTATTTCCTTCCTAATCCTCTCCAATCATCATAACATCTGACTGCACATAGTATGAATGGAAAACCACTGGCATCAATGCCAAGTGCGCCAGGAGAACAGATGCTGGCTGGCACCGGTGATTACAGGCTTTGTCCATATTAACATCTGGAGCAAAATGATGATTCAACAGTTCACCAGTTCTTCTTCAGACAATACACTGCACACTGCCCCAAGATACTGAGAGATGAGAACGGACAGCTACAAGAAAGCGCAACACTGTATTAGGTTGTCAATTACTTTGAACCACAAAAAGAAGCTGTCTCGAATGAAACGAGTGTGTCACACTTCATACAACACAGAAGCTAAGAACTGAAGAACTCTTTAACAAATGTGCAGCAGTAGATATCTTATTAAGCTGACCGCCTCTGTGGTCCAGTGGTCAGAGTTCCTGACTGCAGATCCAGAGGTCACGGGTTCGAGTCCTGGCGCTAACAGATTTTCTGAGAAGTAGTGGGTCTGGAATGAGGTCTACTCAGCCTCATAAGGATAATTGAGGAGCTATTTCAAGGAAATAGCGGCTCCGGTCTAGAAAACCGAGATCAACGGCCATGGGGAACCTTTGTGCTGACCACGTGACACCCTCTATCTGCAAAAGTTGGCACTAACTTTGCCAACAAATGGCGGTACAGTTTGCTTGCAGACTACAGGCCATGGAGTTTGTTTTGTTTGTTATTAGTATGTCAGATTATAGAGCTAAATAGTATGTAAAGGTAAAGGTACGTTCTCTCTGTGCTTAACTAATTAAGCAATACATCGTGAAGGTGTATGGTGTGTGGATGTATAGATCCATGTATTCATGACCTTGGCTTTGGTTGGAGGTGAGCAGTCAGCTTCATTCCCTGGCTGCTTCTGCCCCAGTACCCATTGGACAGGAGGCTGCATGGAAGACGCGGAGAGCAGAAAAATCTCACCCCTACCAGGACTCGAAAACTCTGACCCCTCAGCCGTCCAGCCCATAGCCAGACACTATACTGACTGCACTATCCCGGCTCCTGCTAAATGGCAGTAGGACTGTTGAAGAGTTCATTGGTAGGGATGTAGAAAGAAGCAGTCATGGGTTAACTGAGGTACTGTGCTGGCATGTGCCTGGAGAGACTGAACAAAATCACAAAAAAAAAAAAAAAAAAAAAACCCTCAGTCAGGATAGGCAGTGCCTTGACTGAGATTCGAGTGCCTCTTGACTAGACGTTTAGGGCGTTACCACTATACAAACCTGCCAGGAAAATGACTGTTAATACAGTTTTTGTGTAGTATAGAAGATACTGCATGATAGAAAGTTTATTATTAATTTTACCCTGATTTCAAGTGGTCAGATAGAATGTGACTGCAAAATTTGAGGTTTTCACGGCAGTTACTATGTAGATCTTGTGTGAACTAACGTTTCGGAGGAACGTATCGCCTCCATCTTCAGGGTAGAGAAATCCATGAGCGAAGAACCAGCTTGAGCAGGTGGCTGCCACATCCAAGATGGCATTCTTAGAAATTTGAATGAGTTAAAAAAAGAAATTCAGATCATTCTCTACAGGGACCAATGGAAGACTTGTGAACACAGTGGGAAATATCTGGGTTCACTAAAAACAGGGGAACTTCTTCTTATGGGTATTAATATAGCTGATGAACATGCAGGCAACTTCAGCCTGAATGTGGTAGGTTCTGAAACACACATTCTTCAGAATGATAAAACTAAAAGTAGATGTATCTGTCTTGGAATGAAGCAATGTTATCCATCAGGTGTTCATCTACTGTACTGACTAAGTCATTTTGTTCAACTGTTACTACACTTATGCTTGTACTGCAATCTTACCACAGCCTCTAGGACATCTGGATGATTCTGGAAGAATTCTTCCAACTCCACTGGAAAAACTTTGTCAGCAAATTTGATGATCATGTCCTTGTTTCGACCCACACAGCGTCCATATCCGTCCTCATCCAGAATAAACTGGTCCCTACAGGCCAACAAAAGCTATGAATTGTATAACTCTTTCACTTCCGTTCAAATGATGTGTCTAGTTTCTGTACGACACTCATTTTCCTGCTGGAACAAAGTCTTTAGGAAATCCCTCAAGCACGTAAGTCTTCATACAATTTCCAAGCACAGCTGCTATATTGGTTTGCATGAAGATATGTACATGAAGTATGAGACTGAGTTAGGTTCACGTGGCATAATCTACATACAAAGGTTCACTAACCTTTTCTTTGCTGCGGGTTTAGGTTATGTTACAGATGTACATAACATGTCCTTTGATAAGTTAGATAAGGTTACAGAGGTACATATATGTCCTCTCACACTTCCATACTCTAAATTTGTCACAAAGGGGCACGCGGTAGCACAGTTGGTTGAGGCACTATGCTACAAGCCAGAAGGTCGCAGGTTCATTTCCTTATGATGTCAATGGATTTTTCAATTGGCCTAATCCTTCCAGCCGCACTATTACCCTGAAGTTGACTCAGCCTCTAACAGAAATGAGTACCAGGAATCTTCCTGGGAAGTTAAGGGCGGCTGGTGCATAAGGCTGACATCCTTACCGCCATCTGTGAGCCACTTACCTACAAAATGTGGGAGCCTCAATGTCTCACAACCCTACGGGCCTCCACAGCCTGTTACAGGAATAGCTTAAATTTTTCTATTTTTTTACCATATTTGTCAAATAACTCAGAAAGGAAAGGGTACAACATGCAAATTGTTTCACAGTTTATTATAGAAATATAATACATAATGATAACATATCTGCCTTTACTTATAAACTAAGTAAAGCAGTAAATATATGTGAGTTTTGTAAAAAACTGGGCTATCTGGTGCAAATATATCACCTTGGATGATGGACTCCTTATGCAGGAGATTAGGTCTTGCCCATTCTCACAGATTTCCTTCTGAGGGACTGAGTCACTCAGTTTAGTGATAGCTACATAAGAAAAAGTTTTAATCTGAGGAGTTTGCTGTTATCATGGTAGTATTTTTAGAGTAACTGGTGCATAAAACTTGGGTCTTCTGAGATGCGATGTTATCAACATTTCACCTTCCACCCTTGTCTTCAGGGTAGTCTGAAGATGGAGGTAATAGTTCATCTAAAATGTTGGTACCTTCTACAAGAATATGTGGCATCATATTCCATGAGACTGAAACCTGCAGTCTTTATGTTGCACAGTGCCATCTATGAATGACAGATTCTTACCCAGTTTTCGTCCATCCATCTGGTCGAATGAATTCGCGTGTTTGTTCTTCATCATCCCAGTAACCTAGCATGACTGAATAACCTCTGACCCAGAGCTCCCCTTTTGAACCCATTGGAACCATCTGCCCATCTTGGTCCACAATTTTTGCCTGTAAATTAAGAAATTTATGTAACATTTTTATTTTAATAAGTTGTTTAAAAATGCTACATATGACGCAAACATTTTTTTATAAAGTTTAATTCTGTGTCCAAGCAATCTTGTTGACTCCACAAATAATCATAATACTGTTCATTCTTTCTGTTTCTGAACAACTACCCAAAGCCAGTTGAGATTTAAACAGGAAACTGTTAAGACAAAAATTTGTCAAACATACCTAACCTCAATAATCTGAAAAGTTCTGGAAAGACAACTACATTTATACAGGACAATTCACTCAGAAGAGGTAAGGAGTTAGTAATTATAAATCATGCACTAATTTAGCAACAAAAACAAAACTTGGCAACTCTGACCTGGTGCCTTCCTGCCTGGTTTGTGTCATTTCCTGATGCATGTGAACATGGAACACCATACTGGTCTTTGTCTCTGTAGGACATACTAGGACTTCTCAGTCTGTTACAGTCTTCACCAGCCGTTGTTTGGTAGCAGCTTCCAACAGTGGATGTTCCCCTTCTTCTGGGTTCCTGAACTGTTCCAGCCTTAGCTACAAGCTTCTCACAAGTGAACCCCAGCAGTTATCTAACTGACTGCTACTCCTGTCTTGTCTTGCTTATAACATCTCGGCATGGACTGAGTACAAAACGCCATTCCTCTGTTCCAGTACAATTGTTGCTTAATGATGGCATGACATGTTCCACTGTAGCGTGTGCAGCCATCAGCACAGACCAGATAGAAAACACCATTCCTCTGTTGCTGTTTACGGGCAGCTGCCTAGTAGCAGCCAGCTGTCGTAACTCCAAAATTCTTGCTTTGAGTTAATATGCCACAATATATGAGGACTGCAGACAGCTTGAAAATGTGACTGAAAGAAAGGGCTAAATCAGGGAGAATAAGAACAGTAAGGGATTTGCCGCTCATAGCAGATACATGATGACTGCAGAAGCAGTTAGTGCAAATTATTAATATTCTGTCAAGTTTAATATCCTAGTATAAATGTAGAACTTCTCAAGGTACTGAAATGAGGTATTTTTGACAAACTTTCTTCAAAAGTTTTTCCAGATGAAAATTTAAACAGGTTTTATACTAGCTGAATATAAACACCAATAATGTCAGACCTCCATGTGATCACAGATGCGTCCCACAGTGGAAGCTATCTTGTCCAAACTGTCACCTGACCTGCCCACGAAGAAGAAACCTATTTCTGTCATCCCATACATTGGCTGTGAACACATAAGCATAATTATAACCAGCACATGACTGACAGACTGTGCAACAGCAGAACCCAAAGGTTCAACAATCTAACACCAGCGCCCACCACTGGGCCAGCTTAACCTATGTCATCCTCTGATATATAAGGGTAACTCAAAATGTAGTTACAAAACGTTCATACATTTTCTTGCAATTTGTCAAAATGTTGAAGGGATATGGACATCCTTATCTTAGTAATGAATAACTTAACCTTCAATAATTTTGAATCACTTGAAGGCATTCAGAACAAAGTGATAACACTACTCAAGAAATTTTCAAAAAATATTTTCCAGCAATGTATGTAGGCATGGTAGAGATGCCAGAATAGTCAAAAGTCAAGTAATACAAAGATGATTATACACACTAAATGCCAGATACAATTAAAGTCAGGATAACTCAACTGATACAGTGACTGGGCTATGAACTGCAAAACCAAGGAATCAGGGTTTTACACCCAGCAAATGGTTAGAAATTTTTCTCTCCTTTGCAGTGTCCAGAATGGCTCTGGGGACCACCCAGCGTCCTACCCAATGGGAACTGGGGGCTCTCTCCTCGGAGGTAAAGCGGGTGGGGTGGGAAGTTGATTACTCACCTCCATTTGGAGTAACATTTCCAATTAGCGGCCTCCGTAGTCTAGGGGTAACGTTCCCACCTCATGACTCGTAGTATGCGGGTTCAAACCCGGCGGAGGTCATGGAATTTTTAAGGGCGGAAAAGTTCAGGGAACAAGTCCTCCGGGAGGGACTTTAAGCCATGTGTCCCGTGACATAGATTTATGGCACGTAAAAGAAACTCATGTCTCTAGGAGACCTCTGAGCTAAATTACAGGCACTTTCCCGCCCAAGTAGTTTCCAATGCCTCTGGTAGATGGGGGAAGCATCAAAGGTACTGAGGGCTGACCTTGTTGGGTCAACGGGGCTGATGGCACGCACCGTTACCGGTAGGGTATGGCGACAGTAGAAATTAAAGGGGGACGCACAATGGACCAATAACTGGTCTAAGTGCATGGGGAAACCCACCCCCTCTCATAATACGAACATGAATACAAACATTTCCAATTCCCCATATTGACAGTACAAACATAAAAGCAAAGGTGTCCCTCATGAAGGCGCATTGGGGACTGGATGCACAGTTCCACCATCTTGACATCAGCAATAGATAAAGATGAATGGTCAGCTTCATGCCAAACCTGCTTTACCCTTGGGGAAACAGCCCTGGCACATGCAGGATAGGTGGCTGGGTGTGCCCTTGCTGCTAATCAAAACCTAGCTGTCCAGCTTGTAGCCCGCTGTTATACCGACTGAACTATCCTGGCTTCTCACGGTTCTTAACTAAGTGCAGAGACAACTTTTTCTTTACCTTTAGCACAGTCACTACATATTAACAGACAATATTCTTTCTTATAGAATTGGTCGGTTCAATTGCCAGACCAAGAGAATAAATCCCATTGACTCACACAGACTCGCCTGATATTCAAAGTATCCATCATGCCCTGGATAATCTGTTGGGTGCAGGGGGCTCCACCGACTGCCCCAACTTTTAGTGTTGTCAGAGTCACGCCGAGCTTCTTGGCGTTGATTATCAGGTCTGCATACAGAGAAGGTGAAGCAATAATGTTCGTACACCTGCAATTATAAGAGCCATCAAGTTATGCTTTCATTCAAACATCACATTTTGAACGAGTTAACCTCTAAGGGGTCCAATAGAGTAGGTGTACCCCTCCCCCATTTGGGACAGAAAGAGATCCAATTTCTGAAACATTGTGTTCTTTAGAATACCTGACAATGGACAAAGCCGAAAAACCCAGTAATTCTGAGTGTAATACACCATCATCAGAAGCTTTTGGAATCTACTTATTAACTGCAAGTTATTCACTAAATACAAATTCATTAAATATGGGAAAATGATAAACTATGTTGCTTACACTGAGCTTCAGCCAGGGGCCAGAAAAAACAGTCACTCAATACGTAATTTCAGCAAACACTGGAAGATCAAATCAGGATTTCACTGTACTTCTATCACAGGGCGAATTCAGAAGAAACTCCACAACTGTATCAATGGTAAAGTTGTTCCTGCACTCAATTAGGCAAGCACTATGCCATGAAGCCGTATGGGGGAGTGGAGGTATAGTTCCATTTCTCTTGATGCTGACATTAGATGGAGGTGACTGGTCAGCTGTATGGCCT